CTTTCCAAAGTACTTGTCTCTAATTCTGGTTATCTGTAACTAAACGAGATTAATTTATACTTAAAAACTGGTACACAGGAGACCTAATGATGACCTCCTGTATCTTACGCGGAAGAAAAACAGCTGAGTTTGTTTAACCTAGCAAAAGTGACACCATAAATAAATGCTGTATAAATTTTGAAGGAGGTAAGCATCATGGGACAATGTTGGTACAACAACAATCTAAGACAAAAGAACACGTAAATTTAGGTTGGAAATTTTAAAAATATTTAAAAGATCATAGATATAAAGGATCTACAAAACTCAAAACCACATTTTAAGCCTAATTAACACTGATTCTTTTTAAAGGATCAGAGAATCATGACAACACCAGTTTAAAAAACAGTGTTAGATCTTGAAAAACAGTTAACAGTCACTCAGAAGTCAGGTTCTTTATTTGTATATGCCTCACCACAACTTCAATTACCATTTTAATTAACGGTATATCAAGAAATGCTGAATACTTTCTTGGAACCAGAAGAGTTCCCCTTGAAAGATAAGGGACCATATTTGTTCCTTTTTATGCCTGTATCATTTTGCACCAGAAATTACCATAAGCTTAAGGGGGAAAAGAAAAAAAAAAAAGTATAACATGGGTAATTCAGGTGCTCCATGCCCTACAGTTTCACATTTGTATCATCCATCCACGTTTCACAGTACACATTCCTTAAGCATCTGTCACTGTGGCCTACGGATTGAAGCATTTAGGTTGTCTGCAATGTGGAGATTTAGAGATAAAGCAACAATTGCTAAGCCCAAATCGGTTTAAATTCTTGGAGCACAGCAACTGCATCAAATCTAGAACAAGTTACAGAAGAATTTAACTAAAGAATATAAACAAAGGTTTACTTACATACCCCATTAGTTCTGGGATTTGGGGTTTTTTTGGTTTGTTTTTTTACACAATTAGATCTAAGTTTGGGAACCAAGCATTTAAGCTTAGGAGCAATGACCAACATCCCAAGTCTGTCCCTGCAGTTGTGCTCCCAGTCTCTAGGCTGCAGACACATATTCCCTACTTCTTTTCTGATCCCAGTGACACTTGCACACCTGGTTACACAGTGAGGCAACTTGCAGGCCTTGCAGTGCGATGTTCTTTCTGTGGGTGCCAACCACTCCTCAGGAGGAAAACAAAGATTTGGAGCCCTGCAGGCTGAAGGAGGGCAGGAACCTGGGTTTCCTGCTCCACAGAAGTATGACAACCAGAAAAGGCATGCAGAGCAACACTTCATCTTTACCAGTGATATTTCAGAATGTCCTCTCTAGCTAGGCAAAACACTTTAAAACATTCCAGTTTGGGGTTTTTTAACTGTTAACGTAGAAACCCATGGTGGAAGAGGACCAGGTTAAGGAACATTTAAACAAATTGAACATACTCAAGCCCATGGGGCCTTAGGAGATGCATTCACAGATGCTGAGGGAGTCGATTAGTGTCATTGCAAGGACGCTCTTTATAATCTTTGAAAGGTCATTGAGACTAGGGAGTGGAATGCTGTCAAGGCGGAAAACCAAAATAAAACAAAACCCAAAAAAAACCCAACAAAAGCAAAGCAGACATCACTCCTATCTTCATGAAGGACAAGAAGGAGGATTCAGGGAACCACAGACCAGGGAAGGTGATAGTGCAAATAAAACTAAAAGCCACTAAAAACCACCAAAGGCGCTGAGTGGGAGTAGTCACTATGGATTTATAGAAAGGAAATAATGCCTAACCAACATGATATGATTTGACAAAATGATTGGTTTCGTGGATGAAGCAGTAGATATTGTTTGCTTTGACTTTATCAAGGATTTCAGCACCATTGCCTATAATATATTCTTTGACAAATCATCAAGTACAGACTGGATAAGTGAACAGTGAAGTGGACTGAAAACTGACCGAGGTGTCTGGCTGAAGGGGTTACGGCCAGCAGTGCAAAGTCCAGCTGAGGCCAGTCACTACAGCCGTATGCACTGGGTCACTGTTGGGCCTAGCATCATTTAATATCTTCATTCATGACCTGGACGATGGCATAGAATGCACCCAGCATTCTAGCAAGTTTGCAGAGCATACAAAATTAGGATGAGCCACTGATACACCAGGAAGAAGTTGCTCACAGAGGCTGTAGAGTGTCCATTCTTGCAGATATTCAAAACCTGCCTGGACATGGTGCTGGGCAAACTGCTCCAGCTGATCCTGCTTTGAGCATGGGAGTTGGACAAAGTAACCTCCAGAAGTCCCTCCCAGCCTCAAGCACTCTGTGCTACTTAGGCATTTGTGACATCCACACTGGAAGCTTTTTTCTGACCTCATTCTAAACAAATTAGCTTCTTACTGTATTGTAGAAACTTAATAATTAGCATTCTATAATACTGCTGCATAACCAGGTCAGCAATGTCTGATCAACACTTTAATAACACAACTGCTACAGCAAATTCTCTATACTAAGGCACCACTCATCTTTCAAAATAAACTAGAGCATTCATTTGTACTATCAGACAATTAAGCAAAAATTGACAGAATGTTCAGATTAATATTTCTGTTCATTTGCTTGCTGGCTTTCAAAATTTGAGCAGTAGTATAAACTATCATATTCTACCTATTAAAGCATAAAATTTTTTTTCAAATCAATTAACAGTAAATGAAAGTTCCTAGTATATTAATAATGTTACAACATATGGTAGCATTTACTACAAAACCCAATTAAGAATAAAAAGACTGAAACTGTTTTTCCCTAAACACGGTAATGAAAGCGTAATGCACAAACTGAGGTGCTCTCTGTTCACCATGCGGACTACTGATGAGTTTCTACACCATGTAAAACCAGCTCATATTATTTACTGGTCTGATTTTATTTGGGGAAATCTACACCTTTAACAACATAACATGAGCAATACATAGAACCATACGGTAATATACTAGTAATGTAAAATATTCCATTCCAATCATAAATATAGATCATAGCAGTATATAGTCAATAATACAGATCCATTTCAATCCATTACCAAATGAAGGGAACAATTAAATTATTGTGTTTAATAAAACTTAAGACTGAGCACACTAGCTAGATCCTACTAAAATGTACCTTAATTCTTTATGTTTATATCTTAAGTGCTTTGTTGCTGAATACTTGGAAGTCAGGTGACCTCAAAAGAGTACCTGTGGAGACACTATATTCAGATTTCTCCCTATATTTTTTAATATAAATTTTTCCATAGTTAAATTATTTCAGATTTTATTAGGTCAAAAACTAGTCCTCTACACAAGTCTCCCAGAAAGAGCAGCAGTCCTTTAAAAGAGAAAAAACACACACTGTGGTTCAACTTTGGCAAATTTTCTCCCTGTATGCATTCTGAAGTGTTTAGTTCAAAATTAATAATTCAAAAAGCAAACCCAAATTATTTTAGCATAGCAGTGTATATATTTATGAAAAGTCCAGCTTGCATTTAAATTGGTAGTTGCATACGGAGACAGGAATGAACAATTACTGTGTTCTGCATTGGAAAAAAACCCTACCAACTGTTCAAATCAAAACTACAGGTGTTGGCTGACTTAGATTAAGCAGCAGATTCAAGTCTAGCCTCAGTCAATTGCACTATCTACGAGAAAGGAGGAAAAGGTGACTCTGCTGACTCCCCCTTATACTGAACAACCTGCTGTCTAGCTCACAGTCTAAAGCACTCCACTAGGAAACAGACATTTGCGTTGCATCTCCTACTAGTTTCTAACTAAAACAGAATTGCTTTAATATGAACCACGTTTGTTTTCTCACAGGCTATGGCCCATTCCTTCTTTAACCCCAACCTCTGAATTAGATAGACAAAGATTTGAGCCAGAATATGCCACATCCAAAACAAGTGTCTTCAATCAGAAATCAGGATACAACAGTGGAGTCCATGCTTATCGTCTTTGTAACTCAGCTTTATACTTTTCAATAAACAAGAAGAAAAATCCTCAATACAGTAAAACAGTTAACATAATTTCTTTCCCCTTTCTTCTCAAATTTTGCCACAAGTCCCAAGGAAGAACATCTTTGAATTTGGATCAACTTTGAAACTTTCTTTTTTCTTTTTTTTTTCTCCACTTTGGTAATTGAAGAAATTCATTGTATGCTCATTTCAGTACGCAAGTCAAACAACTTCACATCCAAACTTGCGACCTGCATACCTAGTCACTCATCATCCATTCAGAGTGGCTGCAAACTCTGCTTTTGAAGTTAAAACCCAATGTTTTCCAATGATGTATATGATATTGTATCAGTGCATTAATTATCTTTCCTTTTCAGCTCTTGCATGGGAGCTTTGCCTTTTATCCAAAGAGAGAACATGAGAAGTCTTGAACTGGGGACTGGAACAAGAGAATTCTCCCCATCTAAAGGTGTCTCTTAGCTACTAGGCTGCAGAAACCAGCTTCAGCTTCCTTGCTTTTGCTTTGTCTCCACAAACCTCATGGACCCATAAAGTGACAAAGCTACTAACAGGGAAGGGAACAGAGAGAAGTTCCTAACTTTTAGGAGCTAGAAGTCTCCTACAGGTTTTAGACAATAGCATTTACACAGTGATACTGCCAGTAAACTCAAAGTTCCATACCATTTTCCCTCTGCAAACAACAAAATAATTAATCATAATTTAAGGCAAAATGCTTTAATGTTCAGATTATTATCTCTTGCATGACATGAGCCATAAAATTTCATTACCTTAGTTTTGCTCCATGTTCAATAGCAATAGTTGACTAAACATCCTCTGGAGAGCCACAAGGCAATGTTCAGTCAGGACTCCACACAGTCACATTTTTACTGAAGCCTGTAGAGATCTACTCAGTAGAACAGACCCTCTGATATGAGGCTGCCTTGCCTGTATGACAAAGCAGCACAGCTGGTTGTGCAACCTCCTCTTCAAATGAGACTAGCATTTACATTTTTACAACAGGTTTCAAATAACTTTTAGAAGACAGGTTCCATTTGTACTTACAGAAGCCGCACCTGGTACCCCCTTCAAAGATGAATCCGTTTGGAACAGCTCCATACCGACGCAGATCTGAGAGCTTCCACTGCCCCATGACACTAGGAGGAAGGTCTTTTACAAGGACGAGAATGTCATTGCAGAAATGCAGGGTAGCAGGCCCACTCTCTAGTTTAGTGCCAGGTGCTACAAAAACTTGAAATCTATGAACTATCAGATAAGGGAAAAAAGAATTACTACAGAAAATAGAAATAAAGTACCACTTACATTATGTAAGTCATTCCATTCAGCTGTGATATGTGGACCGACCCCTGCCCACAGCACAAGGCTCTAGCATACAGATTTTAAGAGCCCAGACAGACCCATGGCAGTTGCTATAAGCTCATTATTCTCTATTATACCAGTTTAGGTTGGGGAAAACATAATCATTTGTAGCAACCAAGTTAAGTTGTAATGCTACGTTAATTTATCCTAAATCTTCCAGGCTACTCCCAATTTCAAATTAGTCAATTACCCAGCCAATACTTCAGCTACCTCTTCCATCCTTGCATCACTACATGGTTTTCCTTCTGCCTCCTCTAAACAGCCTGTGCCTCTCCTTTCCTACACACATGTAACAGTGCTCAAAGAGTCCAAAGCCAAGCCTCAAAGAAGTAGAAAACTTCTAACCAGAGCTCTGTCACTGACTCCTTTACAACCTTTATTAGACCGCTTCACTCATCCCTAGCAATAGAATGGGGAAAATTATATTTTCCTGCCTTTGTGAATCTTTCAGGAATTGGTGATTGTAAATGCCCTGACATTTAAAATACTAGGAAATTAAACAATTCATAGGTAATAAATAGTTAGATGTCAGTTAATTCTTCATATTTTGTAGCCTAAACTTCAAAAGAGTGAGGGGAAAAAAGGAAACACCTGTCTCATTCAAGTTCACAAAATTCAGGTTCAGATCCCAACTCCAGTATTCCGTATATTGCAAGGGTCCTTACCTAAAGTAGTAGCTGTTCTAGGCCAGACTCCCATCTTCTCCAGAGCTGTGGCATTCTGCCTAATAAGCTATGGGGAGCATTTCAGGGGCTCAGATCTCAGTGTATCAAAAGGAGCAATTTAACTGAGCAAGCACCTAATTCTTAAACCACTGTTTTGACTTCCACTACTCCTCTAGTTTCTTTCATCCTGTGATTAGACCAAGACAAAAAGAAAAAAAGAAAAAAAAAAGGCTGTCTTGGCAGAGAGGAATCAAGACTGTTACCTTTCCAGTCAGAAGGTTTTGGTGGAGCATTTGCTAAGCAGGACATAGATTTAGCTTTTGGTTATTCAGCAAAGATTATACAAACAGCTACCTGCCTACAAAATGCCTATGCCTGAGTAACCTCCAGGTAGTCTCACTTCTTACAACCACTTTTCCCTGTATCTTGCCCTTAAGCTTCTTCGAGCATCATGAATTTCAACTAGGTCTGAGTCTTGCTTCTCATCTAAATATTCTTAGTTGCAATCTTAGCTGTAAGCCAGCTCCTCATCTATGACGTGCATTTGTAAGTTCCCTAAGGCTCCAGCAGAATTAGCCACAAAGTCATTCAAGTGAAATGTGCAAGGAGACAGAGGGAGATCTAACTAACCACAGCTCTACTTACAGCTTTGCCAGTAGGACTGCTAGGGAGCAAATCAATAGTCACACGATGTCCCCCTTTGGGCATGCAGTTGTTACACAACCTGCTTAAACATAAACTATGAAAAAGATACAAAAGCCATCTCAATAAATAACATTCAGTAAGGAATCTTTAATATAATTTGGATCCTTCTGCCCAGTTAACTTATCCCAGTATTTTAATGGCAATTAAATCATGGAAGCAGAAGCATCAGGGTCCTGTCTGCCACATGAATGAGGACTGGAGCACACTTCACACAGTCAGTTACATGCTACAACAGCTGCTGAAAACAAAGAGCTACAGCTTGGATTCTAGACCACTGTTAAAAAGAAAGAAAAAAAAAAAAAAACAACGCAAAAAAACCCCAGCACATCCAAATCTGAACAAAGCCAAAGTAGAGGAAAAAACAGATCCATACATGAAACTTTTGCCATACGCTTTCATGGTAAATTGAATTACTATTTTTTTTTCCTCCAAAATTCTCACCAGCCATATCTACTTCTCCTATTCTGGAAAAAATAATAATTAGTGAGATACAGAGATGAATACACTCATGAACAAAAGGTACTATTTAAGTTTCTCATTTCCTTTAGCTAACCTAATAGATGACTTCCAATACCTGAAGGGAACGTACAGGAAGGCTGGGGACGGACTTTTTACAAGTGTCCACTGATAGGACAAGAGGAAATGAGTTTAAATTGAAGGAGAATAGATTTAGATTAGATCTTGGGAAGAAATTCTTCAGTACGAGGGTGGCAAGACTTTGGAATAAATTGCCCAGACACGTTGTGGCTGTCCCCTCCCTGGAGGTGTTCAAGGCCAAGTTGGATGGAGTCTTGAGTAGCCTGATCTAGTTGAGAGGCGTCCCTGCCCATGACAGGGAGGTTGGACCGGATGATCTCTAAGGTCCCTTCCAGCCTAGGCCATTCTATGATTCCATGATCTTTTCATTTTCAAAGCTATTCACTGACCTTCAGTATGCTGACTTCCCCAGAAAGAGTTGTGGGCTCAAGCACAAGACCTATATTTCAACTCACTGTTTTCACTAATCTTGGTTCTTTTATTCTAGGAATCACATCCAACTCATCTGCTAAAAACTGAAAGAAAACACTGAGAATCCCAGTGCAAACGCCTCCATTCTGTGGTCCTCATTCAAAAACAGCGTCAACTCCTTTCACTTTTTTTTTTTTTTTTTTTTTTTTTTGCTTCCCAGACTCTGAGGTCATCTGTCCATAGCCTATTTTTATCATCCCACCCAGCCACCTTACTTCCAAGACACACAAAGGCACCCTTACTGTGCTTTAAGAATAAACACCAGTCACCATTCTCTCTTCATCTAAGACCACACCCTTTTCTATCTACCCAAACTAGATTCACTTGAATTTCACTTCTTTCTCCTAACTGAACCTGTACTGAAAGATAAAATCCTGATCTATCCTCTGATACACTGATCTATTCTCCTTCCTCTAGGCTTTTTTTGCAATTAACATTCTACAAATTATTGCCAGTTCAACCAATTATACTTGTTTTCTTTATTTATTCACCTCCACACACATTGCCTCCCCCTTCATCTTTACTCCATGGCTACACATATCATCATCCAATAGGCTCTCCATTCCAGCACTGCATCAGCACAAGATCATGAAAATCCAGACCTATACTGCCAGATCCAAATCCTCCCTCAGGTTTAAGGACAACTTTATGCTGTACATAGATCCCTAATCCAGTAAAGACATAGAACCAGAATGCAATACAGCTACATGAAAGTGTACTGTTTATTCCAACTACTCATGCCCGTACTGTTCAGAAACGCCCTTTACACCTTCCTCTTATACAGTGCTTCATCTTTGATTGCTCCAAGTGGGTACATTCATGTATCTTTCTTCTGATACTTCAGTATTTTATTGCTGTGAAATTACCAGGCCATCTTTCTACGTATGTACTGCAGAAGAGTAAGACCGCAAATGCAACAGATGGCAAAGCATATGTATCAAATGATTAAGATGGCTAATGAGTGTCTCCCACACACCTACCCTCCTTTCCTAGTTATGACTAAACAAACATAAGACAGATACTGTGGATTACCAATATTATCACTCTTTGTTCACCACTGTACATTTCAGAGCTGCTAACCAAGAAAATAAAATAAAAGGACCCATAAGAGTGACGTTAGCTGGAAATGCTGTGTCTGATGACATTCTGTATTACAAGATGTCTCCTCATGAAAGGGAACATTAGTAGCAATAAGCATTATCAATGCAACATCCAGTAGGCAGCTCAGAAGATCAAGATTGAAATAGCCAAGTACTACTCCAGACTCTGCTTGTCTTAACTCAGGCTCCCTCCACATGGTGTTGTCAAAATCCCTAAGTAAATTGCAAGACCAAAAGTAGAAGTCTGTCTGATCATTTTGCTTCAAAGGTACACATTTTCAGTGCCAAAATCAAAAATTAAGCTAAAGGTTCTCATATCTGTCAGTACAGGGCAGCAGCATAATCAAAATCTATCATAAGGGATACCTGCTTTAAGATGAAACAGGAAGACCAGTCTCTTCACTCTCAAAGCAGTGACAGTCTTCTTAACTGTACTTAGTAACTTACATTTTAGCTATGCATTTCTTTTCTCCCCCCCTCCCCCTCCCACAGGGAAAAATGTGAGAAGACAAAGGTTACCTTCCCCCAAACTGTAGCGGATTCGTACATCCCACGCGTACATTGTTTCCTTGTTCTCAAATCCCAGCATCACAACTTGAGAGAGACAGATGATTGCAAGTGTGTGATTCAAGCCCTCATAGGAGAGCCCAGGCTCCAAGCCACAGATGTCTTCTAAGGTCATGCTGCTCCTCTCCTTGTGCCCTTTTGCTCGTTCAGATTTATCCTTGTACACCAGCATGAGCAAACAGTCTAAAAGAAGCAAAACTGTCAGAGACGATGAGGCAGAACATAGAACATAACACATTTCTCAGTACTCTGCTTCAATACAAAGATGCTTTAGATAGTTGCAGGGTCACTCTGTTCAAGTCAATCTAAGAACTCAAGTTTCCTTTTCCCATCCCACCCCCAGGTCCTTATTTTCAGGGAGCAAACACTGAAAGCGTGTTTCAAAGGTAATCTGCAGGCTCAGAAATAAGAAGGCAAGTTGTCCTCAAAAAAACAAGTCTTCCCTATTTTACTTTTCAAAAATCCAGCAGTTTTCTAGATACTCTCCCGAGTCTGCAACCAACTCATTAACTCTGGACATTAGAAGTTACGCTACGATAGCTGTTCACGTTACAAACGCTCAAGACTAAGAGGTTATTGTCATCTGTATTTCCATTAGAACATACTGAACCACAAATGAAATTCTTACAGTAGCTCACAGATTACTCAACTACTAAATGGCGAGCAGACTGCAAGGCCAGATTGTCAGTGTCAGCTCAGGTTTCCCAGTTAAATGTTACACAGTAGCTACTGCTACATAATCATTATGTGCCACACCTCTTGTTTGGTTGGTTGCTTGCTTTTTTAGATATTTGCTTCTGTCACTGTGTTTTAACGCCTTCCTAGAGGTGTTTATTACACAATAACTATACAACAGCAGAAAGTAATTCAAGTGCTACAGTCCCATGGGAAGACTCACATTTCACAAGCAAACCCAAAAGACAAGAAAAAGGGGACAGACCTCTCACACCTTTTGCACTTATAACAAGACCACTTCTCCCAGGTTCCCTTCCTATCCCATAGCACTCGGTTGTAAATGAAATTAGCCGTAGATATGAAAGCTGCAACATCCACAGGTTAAGCTGACCTACATACCACAAAGGAGCAAGCCCCCTGTGCACCGCTTGATGAATGCTGGGGTGTGGTACTCCGAGCCCTGGCGTGGTGCCCTGTGGCTCTCAGCTGGGCAAAGGACTGGCAAACCTCCCAAGAGGTGAAAAACGACTGAAAGACTGAACTGTGTGCTAACCCAAGTGGAGCTTCGTGCAGAATCCCAATTGTTGTCGTGCACCTGTTAGCAAAAACAGCTGCAACTATGATATTTAAGCATTCTACAGTGCAGTTGTGTGTCTGAAGAAAGAACTATGGATTACGGTCCAAGAAAAGCAAACAGTAAGTTTTCAAAGCAAGCTCCCTCATCTTCCCCCTTCAAACCTGCCTTACTCATGTTAGAAATTCAGGCCGATATTCATGTGTCTAGACACTAGCTCCGGATCACAGACGACCATTCACACAGATTAAGCCAAGATAGAGGCATTTAAGACAGTAACGCACAACTACAACAACTCAAACAACAAAGAGTTGAGTCTGAAGGGCTTCAATTACCAAGAAGCCTCCAGCCTACCAGCAACAACCTAGAAAAGATGCCATAATGCACTTCGCAGCAATGCAGATTTGCGTTTTCTGAGTGTAGGCAAGATTTGGCCTTGGAAAAATACACTTTGGGGCCCAAATGGTTTCCCTGTTAAGAACAGATGAGGAAACCTGAAACCTGCTTTTCCCTCTCCAGCAGTAAAACATCAGCTCTGAGTAACATTTGCAATTTCCCCTTCAGAAGCATGGAAATGATTTTTTATTTTTTTTTATAATTCAAAATGTCATTTTATTTTTAAATTCAAGTGATATTTTATGTCAAAACACTGATCAAAAATAACTGCTGAGCTTACAACACCAGCTTTTTTTTTAAAAAAAAAGCCACCAATCACCCTGAAGAAATAATTTTTTTAAGAAGAAAAAAAAGAAATTGCATTTTAAAGAGGAACCAGAACCAAAATCAAATAGCTGTAC